TTTTGGAGGCTGAACAGGTTCAGGTCCCATAGCCTCTTCTCATAGGGCCTGCCCTGCTGTCCCCTGATCATGTGAGTGGCCCTCCTCTGGACCCTGTCCATGCTGTCCACATCCCTCTTGAAGTGCGGTGCCCAGAACTGGACGCAGTACTCCAACTGCGGCCTGACCAGTGCCGCATAGAGGGGGAGGATCACCTCTTTTGACCTGCTTGAAATGCATCTGTGGATGCATGACAAGGTACAGTTGGCCTTCCTAACTGCTTCCCCACACTGCCGACCCATGTTCATCTTGGAGTCAATGATGACTCCAAGATCCTTTTCTGCCTCCGTGCTGACAAGAGGGGAGTTCCTGTAGGTATGGTGCCGGTTGTTCCTCCCCAGGTGCATCACCTTGCACTTGTCTGTGTTGAAACCCATCCTATTCTAATCCGCCCACTCTTGTAACCTATCTAGGTCAGATTGTAGCCTGTTGCTGTTTGTGACAGTTCAGTTTTATTTGAAGACTTTTGACTTCTGTAGCCTGTCAGAGTGGTTGAGATGTTAGAAATCCAGCTGACTTGAAAGTTATTTTAATGCTCATTGACCAGGTGTTTTTCAGTTGGGAGCTAGCATTTAGATCTGAACCGAGGCTGGTGACATATGTTACAATTGCCTAAAAGGAGAGCCTTCTACTCCTCGAGTGCAGTTTTGGGACTGTTGGATGGCAAAGTCTGCTGAAAACAAAGATCAATTAGTTCTGCAATAATTATTTGCAGACCATGTAAATCTCTTTCTGCCTTTTCTTTTCCCTGAGTTCTTTGAAGGAACTGTCATATTTTAGGCTCTTTGTACCAGTTGGATACTCTTAACTTGGCTATTGTCAAAATGTTGGCTTTTTTGTTTGCTAGGATTTTTTTTTAATTAGACTTGGTGATGTAAAACATATCCCTCCTCTAATTCCACCATGAAAGCTACCCCTTCTTGTTTCCAAATTGCACTCAGTCCAACAGCCTGCTGCAGCAAATTTCATTTTTTGTCAGGGCAGCTTTACTGTAATGTGTGCTGCATCTGAGCATAGGGGAAGAGAGAAACGAGCAACAGAAGAGACAGAGGAGGCTCACACCCACTGTCTGTTCGACAGGATTTAGGGTCTTTAAAAGGAAGTAGTTATGTTGTAGTTGTGAACTCATAACCTTTGTAAAAACATCTCTCTCTTCCTGTGGAAATTTATTTTCCCTATAGGTACAACACCTCAACCACACTAGACTGAGCACCTTTTCTAAGAAACTTAGGACCTCGAAATGACAGGTGCTTTCCCTGGTGCCATAACCATTATTGCTGACACATTCAAGATAGCAGCCTCGGCACTTGGCTTGGTTAAATGAAAAATGATAGTCTATCTTATCCCTGTAGCTGTCTTGGTTCCTCTTTCTCAAGAAAATAGGAATTACTTATGGCATCAGCTGCTTGAGTCTGAAACAGGCGCTGATACTTTGCTGGAAAAAGCAAAGAAGAGAATATTTATATCTTGTTAAAACTGTTAAATTTCAGCATCAAAGTAAATATATTTTAGCAAATTATGTGATGTGCATCCTCAGTTTCCTGCATAATATTTTTGTTCCTTCAGACTTGCATATATCCCTCCAGTTTTGCTTGATAAGCATATGCATTTCAGGATTAGAATTACATCCCAATTCTTTCAATCTTTACATGACAGATTGAATTTTTAATATTAATCTGTATATCGCATGCTTTAGGAGGAAGAAACTGAATAGCAGGGGCAGTAATGTTGGGTTCTGCCTTGACTCGATTGTTTTCATGGGATATAAATGCTAGTACACTGTATGGATATAGAAGATCCTAACTACTGTTGCTGCAGTGCCTCTCTCCGTTATAGTAAAGGAATATGGAAAGGAGCAGAGAATATATAGTATATGGATCAGCTAGCTTAGTTCCCCAAATAATAGGCACATAGGGATATTAGAGATTGGGGTGTATTAGTGGCAATTGCTGTTTGCTTAGCTGTCCAGTTGTAAGTGAAGATCCCTGTCCTGCCTTCAAATCATCTTTATTCAGGCCTTACACAGAAAAAGTCAATATTTTCCCATAAAAAGGACTGAAATGGGGAGGAATTGAAAATTGAACAATATTTAAAAGAGATCGTTTGGTAAAAGGTGACTGGGGTGGAACATTAACAGACTTTTTTTAAAAAGTAGACCTTCCTCTTCCCCCACCATTTTATAGTGTCTGGTACTGTCATCAGTATTTAGAAAAAATACAGACAAGTTTCCATGCTTGGTTGGTTCATAACTTCTATACTGTATATATTTTAATATAGATAGTGCTGTACTTCACTTGGTATATGTATCAGTCCAGACTGATTTGCCTGAAGAAAGGAGGGGGCTCTGGACATAGTCCGTGTGTGCATCTTTGTGTGAATGCTGTAGTCCAGGGATGGGGAATCTCCGGGCCGCTGGTTGGCAGGGGATTCCATTTCCTAGCTGCCCCTGCCCGTGTGACTTGTGCCGGCTCTGGAGCAAGCTGGCCCCATCCCATGGTCCCAGCAGCTCTGGAACAGCACCCTGCGCTGCTCTGCCATGCATGCTGCCGCTGAGGCTGGGGTCTTCATGGAAACCAGCACAAGCTATGTGGGCAGGGGTGGTTGGGAAATGGAGTCCCCGGCCGACTGGATCCAGCCTACAGGCCGGACCTTCTTCATCCCTGCTCTAGCCTATAGATTGCTTATTTTGCCTGAGCTTTTTTTATTTTTAATTGCTTTATGTCGCTGCTTATTTTACAGATAGCAAATCTGGTGTTTTAGTTGTGAAGATCTTGGAGGTGCATGAGGAGTGCACTATGCAAGTTGCTGTCTGTCAGCAGCTGGGACAGTTTTCTGCTGACAGCTCCTTGGAAGATGCTGTAACCCATACTGAGCCCATACTCAAGGTTCTCTTTACAAAAGAGACAGCAGGCCACCTCAAAGGAGGCCCACAAGACATCATCCACATCTATCCTCCCTGGTAGGTACGGTGAATTAGAGCTTCTAACTATAATATTTTAGGAGGCATTTTTGTCAGAGTGTTTGTTGTGCGGCACAGTAAGTCTTTCGTAATGAGTCTGTTGGCAGATTCTGAAGTTTTCTGAAAGACAAGCTAACAATAGTTCGTTAAAGAAAAAGAGGCATATGGGTTACGCTTGCCAGCACTGCTGCAGGCTTTAATTTTGTTTTTGTTTTAATATTTCATGTTTAGAATTTATGACAGGCATGAATAACATCTTATCATTGATGAGGCCAATAAAACGCATATTTTCTTGTAGTAAAGTAGTTCAGGAATTCTTTACTGATGTCTTCAGTTTAAGATGTCACTCAATGGCAGAGTCTGTTCTTGCAGCACTATACTCAGACAAGTCCACACCAAAGTAAAGTATAGTGGGAAAAAGTAAAAAGCATCCTCACCACTTCTAATGAATTGCTAACTGTTACCATGGTCAGCTGTCTTTTATCATTTCATTGTGTTCGTCTTCCACTCCACAAACTCTTCTTCACTACAGATGGTTAACTGTCTCTGAAATGTGTTTTTTTTTTAAAAAAAAAAAAAAAGACGATTTTAGTGGGATTGGTCTTTTTTCTGGACCAGTAAGTTGATTGGAGTGAAAACTTTAATGAGGCTGTGTACATGTGTGAGGGCTTTGGCATAGGATGAGGAGTTCGAGTTTTCCTGAAGTTGAATATTAGTCATCTTTTTTCTCGTCCCTTCTAAAATATGCACACTGACATATAAACTGTGCCTACACAAGTGGCTGACTGAGCAGTTGTTACTGCAGTTATTTAGTAGTTGCTCAGTGGCTTAAGCTAGTACTAAATGACAGCACAGTAACTGGTGTTGGCATCACATTTTGTGCCTGGTGATGCCTGATGTCACCATAGTGTCTAGTGTAGATGCCTAGAGAGAACTTTTTTTCTACTCATGCCTTTCACAGTTTAACACTTTCACACAATGTTACCATGGCCACAGTAGGTTAAAAGTGTCTTCAGACAGAAGCATATTCCTTAGTTTGACTAGTTTTCCTTATAAAATATTTTTTTCTTCCTGTTTTAGGTCCCTAATCTACTGAATAGTACTGAGAACGGTTTCATCTCCCTTTTTACCTCTATCCTCTGCTCCCAAACACACTCCTTCAAATAAGATTGCATATGTTTTGGAGGAGATTCAAACATTTTAATAAAGGCATAGTTCAGAGTCTGCTATAGCTACAGGTGCAATCAACTGCAATTTAAATGCAAAAAGATGAGTAACTGAAAAATCTTAAACACAATTCCCAGACATATATTAAATAATGGGTTCATATTGCTGGTGGTGTTATTTCTTCTCCCTGTTGATCTGCAGCTGTAATGTTTGCTTGCTTCCCACCTCTTATTAGGGGCTTCCTCACCTAGCCTTCACCTTCCACATCATCATATACATGGCTCTAAATTTCTCTTATGATTTGTCTTTATTTCTCCCTCTACTTATTGGGTCCTTACTACCTGTCAACTGCTTGATAGAGTTATTAGGTTTGTGTGAGTAGGCAGCTACTTGATCCGGCTTCGGATCCAGCTGCTTCGGATGCTAGCGATCGGATCCAGAGCTCTGGACCGGGTTCCCACTTCATTCCGGCCGAAGCGGCTCCGAGGCTTTGGAGCCGCCTTGGAGATCCGGCCATAGGTTATAACAAGACAGAGACAGTCAGTTGCACAAGCACCCATGTCATGAGTTTTGCCTGTCAGCAGCCAGAGGCGCAGGGCCCCAGAACCCAGAAGCCCTGCACCGATCTCCTTGACAGCTGGCAAGCTTCGTGGCCGCAGCAGGGGCTAGCATGGCTGCAGTTTTCAACCTGCTGCACCTTAACATGCACAGTGTCACCCATGTCACAAAGTTTTGCTTGTCCTCAGCTTGAGGTACAGTTCCCCCCAACCCCCTGCACCTATCTTTGTGAAACTTGGCAGGCTTTGTAGCCTCATGAGGGGCCACCACCCCTGCAGTTTTCACCTCCCTGTGGCATAACACATACATGTGACTTGAGTTTTGCTTTCAAGAAGTTGGGTTGCAGTTCCTCCCAAACCCCTGCACAGAAGTTAGAAAAAAGTAACAGGCATAACACATTTGTAAATGTTTCAAATTTGGGGTCTGATACTTGATATATTAAAAAAAATGCCAAATCAATAGAAAGTGGTAGATGTAAAAGTTTGCATGCCTCTTTTATAAACAGCCCAAAATCATAAATAGTTTTAGGTTTTGAGTTACGAGAATTAGTTCCAGAACATTAATAAATATTTTGTCTTATCAGCCTCAGGAATCAGGTTCTGGACTGCACTCATTAGGATATAGGAACATGGCAGATCTGTGGATGTGGGCACAAGTGTGTACAAATCTAAAATAAGCATTACATGTCAAAATGAAGTACAGATGTGGTCTGTAAGCAAAGCTGACAGAGCTTTGCTGTCTAAAAAAAGCTGTTTTTAACATCTGAACAGGTCAAAACCATCTAAAAACGCTAAAAAAAAGCTGTTTTGATAGACCTATTTTTAAAATTAGCCTATTCACATATTTGCTTTATTTATATCATCAATCAGAAACAAAGGAAGCTGAATAAAAATGTAGGATGTTAAAATAAGTTTGAGGTTTGACTTGCAGATCAACAAGCGAAGAAAGGCATGGCGAAGCTGACACTTCATCCTTAAATCACCCTGATGTACTTAGGGCACATGGCACAGAATGTAAGGTCATTCGCTATTTTGAGACACTTGCAATATGAGGCAGAGTGGGGTGGGATGAATGGACAAGCCTCTGCTGTAAATTAAACCTGTAAAGCAAAATTTTCAAGTTTGTTCTTAAATTATGCCCCAGAGTTTTGTATTACATCTATTTGTATATACTGATAGAGCAGCTGAATACAGGAGTACAGTAGTTAGATGCAAAAGTGCTGAATGCATGTGCATAAGCAAAAGTTCCACAAGCAGTTTAGGAGCCAGGTTTTGGAGATCTGTTCTATCATTTTGTTAGAAATTCTTTCTTTGCATTTGATATGTAAATTTTGTGAGCGCAGTTGGCAGGCTGTTAGACAAAGATGTGCAGTTTGGGAAAACTAGTAGGTAAAATATGCAATTTGCATAGTTAATTTTGGAAGTTGTATTTGGAAAATTAACTGTAAATGTTTCCAGAGTGATATGCTACCACATCATTATGATTAATACTAACTTTGCTTTCTGACACAAATAATAAGTAATCCAAGAACCCATTACTGCAAGTCTTTATTCGTATGAGTATTCTTTACATGAGTTGTCCTACTGACTTCAGTGGAACTTCATGTCTGAGAGAAGTTTGTAGGATTGGGCCTTTATTTCTCTCTTAATTGGCTCTTTCTTTTCAGGTGAATGTTTCATGCATCTCATAAAATGAAAATTAAATTAAGAATCTTGAAAGTCAGGGGGCTTATTTTACTGAGAATTATTGCCAGCTGCAGGGAAATGATTCGCTTCAGGGCAGATGTAATCTCTGTCACCTTTGTACTGCGTTGGCAGGGCACAAAGAACGAAAGGGGCTACAGAATCAATTCCATTGCCTCTTAACAAAATCTTAAATGAAAACTAATTAAAAATTTGTAGACTTTGAAGAGGAGAGATTAGATGTTTTTAATACCATGTTAGAAAAATGTTAGTATTTTAAAAAGTTTTTTGTCACCTTTGCATGAGATTATTCCAACCAGAGGAAGGTTGTGTTTGCCCTCTTAAGGTATGTAAACAAGAGAGTGAGAGTTTAGGCTTTTCTGGACCTACAGCCTCAGGTTTGTATTGTGATCTCAGCTTCCATATGTTTGTAAATGTGATACAGTACTACTTATCCCATCTAACAGATAGTGGTGAGAACTGATGTTCTAAAACATTTTAAGTCTGTCAAGCTTGAAAATACTAAGGTTTATAATTAAATTAATAATCCATACCAGTGTGAATTTATCAGCTTGACTGTGAGCCCTAAGGACAGCGTGGATAGTATCCTTCAGCCATCCCTGCCTTCTGTAACCAAATGTGCCCCCTTACACTGTTTTGAGATAAATTTAACTGAGGATTGAGTTGGAGATTATAGATTATAAATAGGAATGTACCGAAATTGCAGTTTTGCAGTTTTCTCGGACAATGAGAAATCAGGCATTTTCTGTGAAAATCAGAGATCTCGGGAAAAAAGGAGCTTCACAAAAAAGTAGAGAAAGGGAGGGGGGCTTCATGTAAAAATATAGATTTTTTCTTTTTTTTTTTCTCCCTGGGCAACCAAGATGCCCTCATCTCTGGTTCCTGATTGGGTGAGAGAGCTGCCTTCATGCAGCCCTTGGAGATGGGGACAGGCCCAGCCCTGCTTTTTTTTTTCTTTGCAGCCACGTCATCCGGCTGGGCCCATCCTGCAGTAACTGGGTGCTGCAGAGGGTGGGGGGCAGACAAGGGGGAACAGAGCCAGGGTGGGGTAGGGGTGCAGTGTGGCCAGGCCACGACAAGGGGAGCAGAGCTGGGGCAGGGTAGGGGCGCAGCATGGCTGGGCCATGGTGGAGGAGCAAGGCTGGGCCAGGGGGAGCAGAACCAGGGTCAAGTTTGGGAGGGTAATGTTGTTGGGCCATGGCTGTGGGAGTGGAGGACCAGAACTGGGTTGGGGGGGCAGCATGGCTTGGCCAGGGAGCAGTGGTGATGCAGGGCTGAGGGGGCAGTGACAGCCATGTGTCTGCTTCAGCCAGTCAGACATATGGTGGGGGGCAGCCATAATCTACCTGCAAAATTGGAGCCCAGAGCCTGTGAAATTTGACCCCAGGCTCCGCATTTTGAGTACATCCCTAAGTATAAACCTTTTAAAGTTTTTACTGAGTTTAGTCTATTTGGCATATATTTAAAAATATATTCCTTTAATTATATTGCCATCTTAATATATTTTGATATTCATACAAGAAAAATACTTTCAGGAAGTTTGTGACCTTGACAGCTCTCTGGATTTCAGTT